TTTTGTTTGATACTTTGAGACAGAGTCTCACGTAGTATATACTGGCATCAAACTCAATAGTATCAGAGGATGACTTTGAACTCTTGATCTTCCTGCCTACACCCACACGCACCACCATACCTGACAAATGCTTTTTCTCTTTGTGGTTCCAAGGATTGAACACAGGTTCTTATGCATGGTAGGCAAACTTTCTACCACTAGACTACTGCTGCAGCCTCTAATTTGCCTAATAGTCTGGTTTTTTTTTAGTTCTCCTGACCATTGGCAAAAATAGTTTTTTTCCCCAATCCTTATTATTATTATTATTTGTTTGTTTTTTTGTTTGTTTGTTTTGAGAGAGGGGCTCTCTACAAAACCCTGGCAGTCCTAGAACTCACTATATTGACCAGGCTCGCCTTAAACTCACAGAGATCTGCCTGCCTCTGCTTAACAAGTGATGGGCTTAAAGGTAAGGACAACCACCCCTGGTCCAGTCTTAATTATTGACATTAATTTTCAGATCATAGACTACACACAAAGATTACATTACAGAATGGCCAAACAATGGGTTAAAGAGGCCACAGGGTTCAGAAGTACCTTACTGAAGGCAAAACGCAGGGAGTTGATAGATGCTAGGAGAGTTACTGCAGGTGCTTAGATTAATACAACAACTAATGTTGCCACAGTTCCAGCATGGGCTGTTGAAGCTCAGGAGGTTCCAGATGCTAAATTGATGGGGGTAGGGAAGTGTTTCACACTTGCAATTCCAGGATTTGAAAGTACTACAAATTCTAGGCCAGCCTGCTCCATTGTATACTTACTCCCTGGCCAGACAGGGCTACACTAGTAGATTCTGTCTTAAAGAAAAATAATGAGGCAGGGTGGTGGTGAAATAGTGGTGGGGATGGTGAGTGAGTTCTAGGCCCCAGAAAAGACAACTTGAGCTGTCTTTGTCAAGCAATCCATGTAAGCTAAAACCCTTAGGGCCCTGAGGACAGAAGCAGGAATTTGTGGCTTGTGGATAGCTTGATGATGGGTGAAGTCTGAATCTATGTTAGGAGCCCTCCTATTGTATGATCCAAGTGAAGAAGTTGCATCATTCACTGGTCTGGTGTGTTTGATAAGTTTGTGGGTCTGGTCTCTCTGATACAGTTCCCATATACCTACGTGTACATATGTTTCTGATTAAATTTGATAAAGCCTATCAAATTAAGTGGTAGATAGAGCAGAGACATCCTGATCTCTATTTCACATGTGGTATTAGAGCTTTGCAATACCAGCACTCAAGAGGCTAAGGCAGGAGTATTAAAAGTTTAAGCTTAGGGCTGGAGAGATGGTTCAGTGGTTAAGAGCACTAACTGCTCTTCCAGGGGACTTGGGTTTTATTCCCTGCACCCACATCAGAGCTCACAACTGTCTCTAACTCTAGTTCTAGGGGACCAAAACATCAATGCACATAAAATTAAAATAAGTAAATTATAAAAAAATAGAGTTTAAGCCTAGACTGAACTACAAAGTGAGCCTCAAGCCAGCACCAGCTATATAATGAAACTATCTCAAGATTAAGAATTTAAAAAAAAATTTTTTTTTTTTAAAGACAGTTTCTTGGTGTAGCTTTGGTGCCTGTCCTGGAACTCACTCTGTAGCTCAGGCTGACCTCGAACTCACAGCTGGAGTAAAAAAAAGGGGGGGAACTGGGGACTCATCATTCCTCTCCACATTCTATTCTTTCCCTTGTTTTATATATTTTAAATTTTTTATCGGTGGTTTCTGCTGGAGTATCCACTGCAGATAAGCACTGGAGGTCTCTTGTTGCAAATCACCCTCTGGAACAATGGAAGGATCTTTCTACTAGCTCTTGAAGGAGACCCGATCTGGTGTTGGTGTAGGCCCGGGATTCTGTTTATGTCTTTCCTCAGGACAAAGAGGTTCCTCTTTGGATTCCTGAGCGCTGTGTTCGCCCTGTGACTGCTGCTGAAACCCAACATGACAGAGACCTATTGGGCCTTAATGAAAAACTCTCCACTTCCAATGCCAATGGAGATTGAGAGCCCAATATGGCCAGCTTTGGCAAGCATTAACATAAGCCTAGAAACTGTAGCCATGCTTTTGGATTCTCCCAGAAGAGCTGCCAGCCTAAGTCGTGCTGGGATCAAGAAAAATGGGCCTTGGCGGTTCATGTTACTGGAGTTGTATCCATGCCAGTGGATGTCCACATGCTCCAGAAGAGAATTTGACATTGCTGCTGCTGTTGTTGCTGTTATAGCAGTGGCGGCCACCGCTGCTACTGTTTCTGGGATTACCATTTCATAATTGCTTACTACAGCTAGCACAGTGGAGACCCTGGCAGCAAAAGTAGTTACAACAGTTAATTAATCTTTCATTCTATTGGGCATGATAAATTTAATTCAATAGTTATATACATTTTGATTAGCTTTGAAAATTATAAATTTATAAACTCAAGTTCCATTCACTTTTGGGATACCATCTTATAAGGACTCCAATTTGCAGTAGTGAACTTCTGCCCTCCAGGGTTCTCCCATTGTGCTGTAAGCCTGTATTTAAGACCTCTTCCCTCCTTCAATAAACAGCATTTGGCATTTAAAAAAAAAAAAAAAAAAAAGACAGTTTCTCAGTGTAGCTTTGGTGCCTGTCCTGGAACTCACTCTGTAGCTCAGGTTGGCCTCGAACTCACAGAGATCTGTCTATCTCTGCCTCCCGAGTGCTGGGATGAAAGGTGTCCACCACTACCACCTGGCTAAAAAAAAAAATATTTTTAAGGTGGTTTATTTTCTTCATAATCTTCTTGAGGTTTGTTTGTTTGCCTTTGGGGTTTTTGTTTGTTTGTTTTGTTTTGTTTTTTGAGACAGGGTATCTCTGTGTAATAGCCCTGGCTGTCCTGGAACTCGATTTGCAAACCAGGCTGGCCTGGAACTTACTGAGATCCGCCTGCCTCTGACTCCCACGTGCAGGGATTGTGTGTGTGTGTGTGTGTGTGTGTGTGTGTGTGTGTGTGTGTGTGTGTGTGTGTGTGTTTTGTACCATTTCATGTGGCAAATGCACTGCAGCTAACCCAGTTGGCCTCTAAGAACTAATCATCCTGCTCAAGTGCTGGGCATACAGGTATGGGCCACCCGCCATGTCTGACCTTGTTATACAGGTCAGATTAATTAACAGGGTCTCACTATGTGGCCCAGGCAGGTTTTGAATTGGCAGTTTTTTTGCTTCAGTTTTCCAAGGGTTGGGATTACAGGTGTGTGCCACCATGCCAGGCTGGCTTCATTTTAGTTATCTTTTCCTTTGAATTTTTCTTTTATGTGCACTGGTGTTTTGCCTGCATGTATGTCTGTGTGAGGGTGTGGGACCCATGGAACTGGAGTCACAGACAGTTGTGAGCTGCGATGTGGGTGCTAGGAATTGAACCCTGGTCCTCTGGAAGAGCAGCCAGTGCACTTAACCACTGAGCCAAAGCTCCAGCCTGTTCATTTCAGTTATAATTTCTAAATTATAATTTTTGAAAAATTGAATAATTCCTGAAATATAATTTTCAGTCTTCGTGAGACAGAAAGGCAGAGTAGCTCAAAGTACTCATCCTACAGTCAGAGTACTTGTTTTGGTTGCTATGAGTTTTTTTTTTTTTTTTTTTTTTAATTTTGGAGATGTCATTGAAGATATGCTAGTGGCTCATGTTTATAATTCAACTACTGGGGAGGATGAGGAAGGAGGATTGGTGAGTGTTCCAGACCATCATGGACTACACTGTGTGTTCCAGACCAGCTAGAAATACAAAACAGACCCTTTTCTGGAAACAAAACAATTTGTGAGGCCGGTTGGTATTGTAAACACAGCATTTGGGAAGCAGAGGAAGGAATATAGCTTAAGGTTTAAAGATAGCCTGGTCTAGGTGAGTGATTTCAAGCTGGCCAAATGTATATTAAGGTCTTATTTCTTTTTCTTTTTCTTTTCTTTTGGTTTTTCGAGACAGGGTTTCTCTGTAGCTTTGGAGCCTGTCCTGCACTACCTCTGTAGACCAGGCTGGCCTCCAACTCACAGAGATCCCCCTGCCTCTGCCTCCTGTGTGCTGGGGTTACAGGCGTGCGCTGCCACCACCACCCGGCTTAAGGTCTTATTTTAACAAACCAAAACAAGCCAGGCGAGGGTGCTCGCTTTTGCCTTTAATCCCAAGCACTCTGGAGGCAGAGGCAGCGGATCTCTTGAATTTGAGGCCAGCCTGGTCTACAGAGCAAGTTCCAGGACAGCTAGGGCTACAAGAGAAACCATCTTGAAAAACACACACACACACACACACAAATCAAAACAGAACCTGCATATACACGTGCCCGTCCTGCCCCCTCCCCACGCCAAAAAAACCCCAAAAGCCCTAGGTCTAATACGGAAATCAATAATGACAGCTACTAGTTACTTAAAACATTTAGATTCCTATAGCCTAAAAAGGGGAAGGAATCTGTGTGATAGCTCAGCTGGCAAAGATGCTTGCCATCAAGCTTGATGCATGAAGTTTGATCCGCGGGACCTACAGGGAGGAGGGCATGCCCCCAACTTATCCTCTGACATTCACACGCACGCCTTGGAAGGCACGCGACCAAACACATACACGCACACATATGCAATAAATCAATGTAAAAACAAACAAGTAAATAAAAAGGGTAAGAACAATTCGCCACCCAATACAACCTTAAAGGCATTGAGGCCTGTACCTGAAGCCGCCCTCCCCCGAAGCCCCGCCCCAGGACTCCGCCTTCGCTCCTAAGTCACCGCCCAGGCGACATCCGGAAGTCTAGAGCTCGGAGACAGGCGATTACGTGACGGCGGCGCGTAGCGCGCGGGAGGCGGCTCTGAGGTTCAGACTGCTCCAGGATAGGACGCAGCCTGGCGCGGAAGGGGCGGGCCAGGCCGGGAGGCGGTGCTTCGCGTGAGCGCGCTCGGGCCGGGCTTCCGCGTGCGTTGGTCGGGGAGCGGGAGCGCGCGGCGGGGGCGTGCCGGGGCCGTCCGGGGGCGGGGCGGCGCGCGGCCTAACGGCGGCGGCGGCGGCGGCGGCGCTGGTGCTGGTGCGAGCGAGTTCGGCGGGTGCAGGTCCCGGCCTGCGCCTGCGGAGGACTCGGGCGGTGGGTCGAAGCGGGTGGCGCTCGCGGCAGGCTGCGCTCCGCGATGGTGGGCGTCCCTGGAGCAGCGGCCTTCCAGCGTAAGTGGGGCGGGAAGGCGGGCGGCTGAGGGGTGTGTGTGGAGGGGCCTGCTGCTCCATAGGCGCGAGGCTCCGCAGAGGCCCCCGGCGGGAGGCCCCGGCCGGGAAACTGAGGCCGGGAGTGGGGCGCTGTATCCAAGGTCACGCGACTCCCCGGGCCTTCGCGGGCTCTCGGGGCCACCCCGGCGCTTCCTGCGGCGCAGCGGGACCCGGGGCTCTGGGTGCTAGCGGGACTGTGCTGAGCGGCCTTGGATCTCAGGCCTGGCGGGCGCCCTATGGACCGCGAGAGAAGTATTGTTTTGTTTTCGCGGCATCGGGGCTGAAAGTCCGGTCCTGGGAAAACGTAGGCACGCTGGATTTGGAGCGACGTGTGGTCCAAAGACTAGAAGACGCGGGGCTGGTGTTCTCGAGGGGCCTGTTGAGTGCAGGCTCTGGGGTCAAGACTGCTTGGGTTCATGTCCCGGCTCCCCCGCGTACAGGCTGTGTGTGACCTTGGTGCTCCCAAGAGTATCAGTTGCTCTGTCTGAAAAATGGGTTGTGAGGAACGCTCTCTGAATTGCCCTGTAGTTGGGTTTAGTGAATCCAGTAGAACGCCCTGCACACACAGTTGCACATCACACATGTGTGAAAACTCATTATCGTAATCGCGGTTTATTAATCATTATATGCGCGCCTCGGAAAAGTCCAAAATTGGGATCTGGTTGTGCATTTTTTTTTTAAAGATATCTTTGCCTATTATTGGGTGTCCCAGTTGTGTTTTTATCCTTACCCCGTTTTGCGATTTCATTTATCCGATGTTCTTCCTAGAATTTTAAGATCCTTGCAGGAGGGATGGCATCATTTAATAAAAACAATAAAGACTTAATTGTCATTAAAATATCAGTAATAGCCAACATTACTTGAGCACCAGGCATTTTGCATTCGATTCATTTAATATTTATTAAATCATCTCTTAAGTACAAAGTATCACTCTAGGCCCAGAGGATATGGCAACAAAGTAGACTCTGGATTTGAGTTAGAGAGGGGACTCATGTGAACTGTTCTGTGGATTTTCCTTTGTTTATGCAGAGTGACAGTCTAAAAACAGGTATTTGTGGCACTTTCGAGGCAGGTGGATCTCTGAGTTTGAGGCCAGCCTGATCTACACAGCCAGTTCCAGGACAGCCAGGGCTATATAATGAGACCCTGTCTCAAAAAAATAAAAACAAAACAAAAAATAAATAAAAACTAAAACCAGGTATTTGAGTATGTCCATTGTGCAGAGAATAAAATGAGAGGTATTGAGAACTCTGTGCTCTACCCCCAGAGGGTTGTTCTTCAGCTTTTAAAAAGGGAGGATTCATACAGCCTCTTCCTTGGGCACCCATTCCACTTTGGATTGAAGAAATACAAGAAAGGTTTACCCATTAATCCCTTTTGTAGTCCTGTGCTGTTGATGTTCTTGTGGAGGCAGACCAGGTAACCGTTAGGTCTGGCAAAAATTTCATATTAGGAAAGTGGAAAAACCTTTTATCTGAATTTAAATTTATATGCTTATGGCAGTATTAGAGATTGGATTTAGGGATTTATACTTTATGCTGTAGACTGAACTGTTTTCAGCTACCTTTGTTTTCAGATTGGGTCTTACTAAGTTGCCCAGGCAACTTGTAATTCTGTCTCAGCTTCCCAGTAGCTAAGAATACAGGCCAGTGTCACTAGGTCCAGCTGACCTAAGAAATTTCCATATCTTTTATGTTTCCAGTTAAAGATATTCCCAAAAGGTTGAGTATGGTGAAAGCCTCTGTAATCCCAGCACTGAGGAGGCTGAGGCAGGAAGGTGTGAGTTTGAGGTCAGCTCCAGCTATGTAGTGAGGCTGTCTGGAAAGACAACAAAAGCCAAGAAGCAAGACTGGTTTGTTGTGTAACTGTGTTTCTTTGCATAAGGCAGTCTATAGTGTGTTTAGTGTGCGTGCTTATTGTTTGTTAACTAATTTATTGAGGTTGAGGATTGAACTGAGGGCCAATGTTGGTCCCCCGTCGTGTCGTCCCCCCCCCCCCCCCCCCAAGCCCTGGCTGTCCTGGAACTCACTCTGTAGACCAGGCTGGCCTCAAACTCAGAGATTCACCTGTCTCTGCCTCCGACTGGTGGGATCAAAGGCGTGTGCCACTATGCCTAGCTTGGCCTCCAACTCTTAATCCTGCCTCATGTGCCTGAATTTCTAGGATTACAGGTGTGCACTGTCATACCTACTCTGCTTTTCCTTTAGTTCAGAATAATTTTAAAAATTACACTGAAATGTGTTGGTGTGAGTACTTTCATTAAGATAGCATCTTACTATGTCCGTAGCCTAGACCAGTCCTACCTCCTGGCTCAGCTTCTTCAGAACGGGGACATACAGGCATTTGTCCTTTTCATTGGCTCAATGTTGACCATATGCTGCTCTAGAAGCTTAACTACAGTTTCTTCTTTTTTTTTTTTCAGTGCTGAAGGAACACAGGCCCTAGTATATGCTAGGCAAGTGCTCTAACTGGCTAGTGTTTTAAACTGTAGTCCTGGGGAAAGAAAAGTAGGAAAGAACTCAGTCCTCAGTCTGCTTTACTGGACTGGAGTCCTGGGAAAATACTATAGCACTTTGTCCTATGGTGTTCATTCCATTGGGATATATGGCTAAATTTGCACACAATGCATGAATATTTGTTTTACACTTTGTTTTTTTTTCTGGCAGTGCTGGTCAAAAAACAACCACGACAACAACCAGGGCCTGCCATTCCCTAGGCAAGTGTTTTTACCACTGAACTTCATTCCAGCTCTAAATACTTTGTTTTATTGAAGTAGGATCTTACTCTGTAGCAAAGGCCTGCCTCAATTCACTGTGTAGATCAGGTTGCCCTCAAATTTATGGCACGCTTTCTGTCTCAGCCTTTTTTTTTTTTTTTTGGTTTTTCGAGACAGGGTTTCTCTGTGTAGCTTTGCGCCTTTCCTGGGACTCACTTGGTAGCCCAGGCTGGCCTCGAACTCACAGAGATCCGCCTGGCTCTGCCTCCCGAGTGCTGGGATTAAAGGCGTGCGCCACCACCGCCCGGCCCTGTCTCAGCCTTTTAAATGAAGGGATTATAGATGTGAGCCTGGCTGAATATTTGTTTTAAATTACTGTTTTAGTCTAGGGATGTAACTCAGTTGTAGTCTACTCACCCACCATGGGCAAGGCCCTGGATTTGTTCCCTTTTCATAAATAAGTAACAATTATAATCATATTATAATTGGTAGAACATTTTCTAATGTGTAAAAATTGCCATTTTAAGGAATGATAAGCTAAAATATAAGTGGAAGTCACAGTATTGTCTCTCTAAACCCTGATGTGATAGTCACTACTCTTGGGATGGAGATCATCATCTTATAGTGGGTCTTACCCCTTGACTCATTAGGTATGCTACTCGTGAAAAAAAGGATACCTCGTTCAACAGAAGTAGAATGCAGTGGTTTAGGATGAACTTTTTTTTTTTTTTTTGGATTTATTTATTTTTATGTGCATTGGTATTTTGTCTGCATGTATGCCTGTGTGAGGGTACCGGATCCCCTGGAACTGGAGTTAAAGACAGTTGTGAGCTGCCATGTGGGTGCTGGGAATTGAACCCCGGTCCTCTGGAAGAGCAGCCAGTGCTCTTAACCACTGAGCCATCTCTCCAGACCCGAACTTTTTTTTTTTCTGAAACAGTTTCTCTATGTAATAGTCTTGACTGTCCTGGAACTTTGTAGACCAGGCTGGCCTCATACTCACAGATAATTCATTTACACACCTCCCCGCCCCCATTAAAGGTGTGCACCACCACTCCAATCTAGAAAGGATGAACTTCTAAAGCTTATGCTTTGTCTGTCTGTCTGTGCCCCCCCCCCCACCTTTTGAGTCAGTATCTGGAACTTGCAGCAGTCCTCCTGTCTTCTGCCCCCACCCCATCCTAACACTATAGGCATACATTACTAAGCCCACTCTCTTCTGTAAAATTGAAGATAGTTCCTACTTCGTTTGCATTCTTTTCTTTTGAGACAAGGTTTCTGTATAGCCCTGACTGTCCTTGAACTTGCTCTATAAGAAGAGCAGGCTGGCCTACAGTGGTGGTGCACGCCTTTAACCTTTAATCCCAGCACTCAGGAGGCAGAGCCCGGCAGATCTCTGTGAGTTCAAGGCCAGCCTGGTCTACAAAGTGAGTTCCAGGATAGGCTCCAAAGCTACACAGAAAAAATCCGGTCTCAAAAAACCCAAAAAAAAAAAAAAAAAAAGAGTATGTGAGAGTATGACATGTAAAAAGCTTTAACAGTGCTTGCCATGCTGTTAGTGACTGAAGATTCAAAGTTGACTCGGAATCTTACACTTCATGGGGTCCTGCATAGTAGATAAATGGGTAATGGTAGATAAAGTGCTTAAATTTTTTTTTCAGATTTATTTTATGTGAGAAGTGGAACATACCATGTTAATAGAATGGCAGTGAATTTCAGCTGGGGTTGTGCCTGGGAAGTGCCAAGTGGCAAGAAAGCCTGTCTTTCTTCTCAGACGGCCCTTCATTCTGCCCACTTACCTGAGAATACAAACTTGCAGACTGAGCTACTTGAGGGTTATGAGAATATCTTCATTTTGTAATTTTATTTTGCTTAGCAAGGTAAGTGTGACATTCATAATGTGGCGAAAGGTATATAAATTTGTGACCCTTGAAAGAAGCCTAAACACAAATGGAATGGTATATAAGTATGTTTGATAGTTACAGATATTTTTACAGTCGAGAGGTCCTGTGCATTCATTATTATAAAAAGATGTAAGAACTGTCCTCTTGAGAAACCTTTTCCTTATGTGGCACATAGCTGTTAGCATGATAAAAGAGAAATGGAAATGCACCTCAGAGATGTTACTGAGGATGAAGACCTAAGTACCTTCCGTTCTGCCCTCTAGGTCCACTATTGCTTTTCACCCTATTCTCGGGTTGGTTTAGTTACTTGTACTGTATCCATGGGCTTCCTCTTCCTCTGA